TGTGACTAAAATTATTATGTTTTTTTCCGGGATTAAAACCTGTCACGTTACCGCCATACTAATTCGTTTAACCGTTGGGTCAAGGAGTCGGTCCTTAACAGCATAAATCTGACAGACAAACAGCAAGTTCTGCTGAAAATCACTGTTGCATCGTAACTGTGCTGCAACTTGTTACAGCACTGATTTTAAGTAACTACTGGTTCGAAATGAAAAATTATTGTTGTGTTGGTTGAACAATATATCGGAGGTAGGCTTTAGGCTATAAAACATCACGCTGCGACAAATAGGAGGGAAGAAAAAGTATGTAAAAAGCAGAGAAATTTATTCATCTTTGAGTGCTCCTGTTGCGTGCGCTGCAAAAACAGTTCCAGAAACCGATAAATATGACAGAAATATGTCCGCTGCATTATATGTCTATCTTTTAAGATTAACAAGCAAGAACTATTTTTATGATGATCAAATTCGGTCTAACTTAATTTATTATCAATTATATGTTACAGTTGTACCAACATAATATTAATTTATAAGGGGGGGGGGGGGGGGGGGGGGGGGGGGGGGGGGGGGGGGGGGGGGGGGGGGGGGGGGGGGGGGGGGGGGGGGGGGGGGGGGGGGGGGGGGGGGGGGGGGGGGGGGGGGGGCGGGCCCCCCCGCGCCCGGGGCGGGGGGGGGGGGGGGGGGGGGGGGGGGCGGGGCGGCGCGGGGGGGGGGGGGGGGGGGGGGGGGGGGGGGGGGGGGGGGGGGGGGGGGGGGGGGGGGGGGGGGGGGGGGGGGGGGGGGGGGGGGGGGGGGGGGGGGGGGGGGGCCCCCGCGGGGGGGGGGGGGGGGGGGGGGGGGGGGGGGGGGGGGGGGCCCCGCCCCCCCGCGCGGGGGGGGGGGGGGGGGAGCCCCCCCCGCGCCGGGCGCGGGGGGGGGGGGGGGGGGGGGGGGGGTGGGGGGGGGGGGGGGGGGGGGGGGGGGGGGGGGGGGGGGGGGGGGGGGGGGGGGGGGGGGGGGGGGGGGGGGGGGGGGGGGGGGGGGGGGTTTTTTTTTTGGGGGGGGGGGGGGGGGGGGGGGGGGGGGGGGGGGGGGGGGGGGGGGGGGGGGGGGGGGGGGGGGGGGGGGGGGGGGGGGGGGGTGGGGGGGGGGGGGGGGGGGGGGGGGGGGGGGGGGGGGGCGGGGAAAAGGAAAAAGGGGGGGGGGGGGGGGGGGGGGGGGGGGGGGGGCCCGGGGGGGGGGGGGGGGGGGGGGGGGGGGCGGCCCCCCCCCTTTTGGGGGGGGGGGGGGGGGGGGGGGGGGGGGGGCCCCCGGGGGGGGGCCCCCCCGGCGGGGGGGGGGGGGGGGCCGGGGGGGGGGGGGGGGCGGGGGGGGGGGGGGGGGGAAATTTTTTTGGGGAACCGGGCCCCGGGGGGGGGGAGGCCCCCCCGGGGGGGGGCCCCCCCCCCGGGGGGGGGGGGGGGGGCCCCCCCCCCCCCGGGGGGGGGGGGGGGGGGGGGGGGGGGGGGGGGGGGGGGGGGGGGGGGGGGGGGGGGGGGGGGTTTTTTTTTTTTTTTTTTTTTGGGGGGGGGGGGCTTTTTTTTTTCTTTTTTTTTTGGGGGGGGGGGGGGGGGGGGGGGGGGGGGGGGGGGTCTCTCCCCCCCCCGGGTTTCCTTTTTTTTGGGGGGGTTTCCCCCGGGGGTTTTTCCCCGTTGGGGGGGGGGGGTGGCTCTTCTTTTGTTCTTTTACCTTGGGCGGTGGGGACGTTTATAAACATAATATTTGCCGGATCAGCTAAGCAATTAATTTTTCTCGCTTACTCTGTATTCAGCTAGAAGACATTGCTCTGTGCACGCCCTCGCTAGAAGCAAAACAGTGTTCCGAACCAATAACTGTTTTTATTTCAAGTATCGCGGTTCGTTTATAGCGCATTGAGGAGGGGAAGTGGAGGGTGGGTTTTCTAAGTGGAAATTAACGGAAATAATCCCCACATATGTCGCGGAAAAACTATTTAGAGTATAAAGACAAGATGGACAAGAGTAGCAAGGAAATATCCAAAGCTAAAATAGGTCGACGACACATCTTGTTGAGATGTTATATAGCTAGGGTATTTCACATACATATATTAGTTTCGGACTCGTTGGTCTAATAATAGCAATGAATAATAACGGGTCGTGGGTTCGTTGTCGACCGGACCCAAGGAGTTTCTGATTAATTTATTATTAGTAAAACGGTTTTAAACTCGAAATATATCAGTTAACAATACTTATGTATTTATTGTCTGTGGTTTACGCGAGTCGTACACATTCAAATATAACACGTATTGACGGTGACGCGAAACATACTTATGTTTAATTTTTTCTAAGGCCCGATGTGCCAGAGGCTTTGCAGCAGCCGTGGTTAGGGGGGAGGTCGGGGGAGAGAGGGGAGTTGGGGGCGTAGTTAAAATAAAAATAAGTGTCCTAATATATTTCGCGTTTAATACCGTTAAAAGTGTTTTATTTCTTAATTTAGTTAATTTTAAGTATGGTTCGTTTTGTTTAACAAAGAAAGTATATAGAAGTCGCATCCTCTATTTGGTTTTACTGTTGTGAGGTCGAATGTAATATTGAAGCGAGAAGGCGTTACATTATTCAGAGAAAAGGAAGATGTACATAAGACATACGTTGAGTTTATTGTATCGTTTATATTGGACTTTACCCCGCAATATTGTCTTACACTGAGTGCAGAGTAGTTGCGATATAGAGAAAGACTAACAATTCATTTTTATTTATATGTAGGTTCGTTAAATAGTACTTTATTTTAACTATGAACGTTTTAAACCGTTTGTGCTGCATTACATGTACAAATTATATATTGAATACAGGTCTGACGGTTTAAATCACGAAATATAATATGAAACTCATGTAAATCAAAAATCGGTTATAAATTGAAAAACGTGTCGACTGGGGCAGGACTTCAACGGACATCTACAGCGTTCCGTGCTGTTGCTCTAACTATTTCAGCTGCCGAATCCTAATTCAATTGGTTATAGCAACAGCACGCTGTGGATGCCGTTCGCTGCAGTTAACCAAGATCTATTTTTAATTGTGCAATTTGTGATAAATATTAAAGTTTGATTACTTATTTAGGGTTTATTTTAAGTATGGCCTGCCATTTTGAATCCTAAAGATCATACAACAACCGCTGTCATGGGGGAACTTATGAAAATTTAGTTGTAAACCGTTAAAACTGTTTTTTTTTTGTATAAATACTAACTATTGGCGTTAAAAGATTTACGCTATTGATTATCTCTATCAAGAATTAACTGTTTCAAATTTGTTCGGAATACATTTTTGTTTTAGCAAATAGTTTTACAGCGAGTTCTCTGTTCGTAGATTACTCTGTACGCGCCCTATTCTAATAAAGTGTAATAAAGGAAAATGGAAAGTTATCGACACGTGAGCTTGTGTGGGCTTCCTATTGATATTGTATTATTACAAAGCATCAAGCTTTATATAAACAATCTCCATGTGTTTTTTTACTTATAGATCGCTATGTTTATACACGCGTTCTTATAAACCATGGCTTTTTGTTCATTTGAACGCGCTAATCTCAGGAACAACTTGTTCGAATTTTTGCGTTAGTTGAGTAGTTATCGACGAAGGCTATAAAACATCGCGTGGCGACCAATAGTAGCAAAGAAACAGGGAAAAATGTGGAAAAACTGGGAAAATTCTTCATCTTTGAGGACTTACGTTGCGAAAACAATTATAGCAACCAAAAAGCTATATATAACAGAATGATTACTCTTTAAATAATCTAAAAATATGTTAAAAACAGTATAATGTCTATCTTTCAAGATTAACTTGCAAGATCGATGCGACGCGGACGATGTCGCCGGTAACAGCTAGGTATAATTTATAAAGCTGAGCAGGTTGTTTGCAAAAATAAATCATACGATGTCGCGAGCACAAATTTTACTAAAAAGAATAACTAAAGATGTATGATAGCCTTGTCTTTGGATTTCCGCAAGCTAAGATAATGCCTTGTGAAGCTGACCATTACTAAAAACAACGGTGTTACGCGTAACGCTGTACGTAACAATTTCGAATCACATATTATACTGCACATTTCACTAACATTATATTTATGAATTTTAGAATGTTCCGACCTTTGTGGAACAAATATTACATACCATCAACAACAGAAGGAAAAAAAGCGTGAAGTTTACTCAAACTGAATTATATTCAATTTTCCCCCCCCCCCCCCCCAAAAAATTTTTCCCACAAAAACCCCCACCCAAAAAAAAAAAACAAAGGAAATAGAAACCAAAAAAACAGCCAAAAACCCCCCCCCAAAAGGGCCCCCCCAAAAAATTTTAAAAAGCCCAAAACCACGCCAGCAGCTATATCTCTTTGTGTATTTTCGAATGTCCAAATCCAGAAAAGGTCGACATAACGGCCATATTGTTTGCCATTTCGGCCGGTCGCGATATGTACTGATATTGTTAAGCTGAAGGGTTTGTTTGTTTGTTAGAACGCGCTAATCTCAGGCGCCACTGGTTCGAATTGAAAAATTCGTGTTGGTTAGAGAGGGTTAATCGAGGAAGGCTTTAGGCTATATAACAGACAAGAACAAAAAAACAGAGGGAAGTGTGGGAAAACCCGGAGAAAATATTCATTTTCAAAGGCTGCTGTTGCCTGCCCAAAATATATGTATAACAGTCATTCTTTTTATTATCTAAAAAAATATCCAGACAGTATGTCTATCTTTTAAGATTAACTTGCAAAAACGACGGGACACAACCGTAGGTATCTGCTTGTTCTTAAACAAATCGATGGCAAAAACCGCTGAGACAGCTAGTCATTTATAAAACTTGTTTCTTAAAAAGGGGTGTTTCTACAAATTACAAGGTACAGAAACTATTCCAGTCGCGGACACAGCTAGTAATGTATAAAGCTTGTTAAAAAAAAGTCCATCAGTACAGTAAGTACTGTACTGATGGAATAGTTACGCAGTACGCGGACACAGCTAGTAAACTATAAAGGGTTGCTATGGCTACTTACAGACGTAGCGTGTCAGTCGGTAAGGGTCGAGGGACGTGCAGCAGGCCACGATGCGCGCAATCAGCAGCGGTCGGTCTGCAGGCACAAGCCCAAGGACACGCCTGCGCCTCGCTGCGCAAGAGCAGCGCCACCATCAGAAGTACGAAGCGCATTCTGTTACGTCATCTGAAACAAATACCAAAATTAACATCTTCGTAAAATAAAAAAAGAATTTGATCGCATCCATCCGTTCCTTGTTCTAAACAATTGAGTTACCGTGTCCTACACGTAATCGTCGAACTTTAAGCTATTGTATACATGCACCTCTCGCGCAATGTAATTACAACCTTAACTCTTGCGTTTTAAGGTTCAATGTCTTACGCTTTGCAGTTTAAGAAAATGAAATTAAAAAGTATAACTTGTGAGAATTTTGTATTTTTTTACGTTATGGTTGTTATCACTGAAAAAATAAACCATATATAACATGTACAAAAGAATTCAAGTTTTGTGAAGAATTTAATTGAAATGTAAATGCGTAGACTACAGATATATACTTTTGTGTTGGTTAGACGTATGGTCTATCAAGGTATCAAGGAAGGCTTTAGGCTATAAAACATCAGGGTGCCACCATTAGGGGAAACAGAGGCAAACGTGGAAAGTTATTCATCTTAGAGGCGTGCGTACGGTGCGAAAACGATTCAAGAAACCTAAAAATCATAAAAGAATGATTTCTCTTAAAACGATCTAAAAAAATTGTCAACGACAGTAAATATCTATCTTTTAAGATTAACTTGCAAGAACGACGGAACGCGGACAACGTCGTAGGTAACAGCTAAAACTTGTAAAGATGAGGAGGTTTGCAAAAATACCTATTCCTACGCGGACGAAGTCGCTGACACAGCTAGTACTTCATAGTAAGAGAGCAGTTTGCCAGGTCAGCTAGTTTAAGACCTGTTTTTTACTGATGGTGTGAATGCCTATGCTCGCCCACGTCGGGAAATAGCGACGTGGGGAGTGTGGTAAATCGTTATACACCCTCCTCGGAGACAACAACCGACCAGAACCACCAAACAGACCACCGGCCCTCTACGGTGCTTTGGAGCCCTGGAAACACGTTTGTACGACTCCAAAGCTCCCAGCACCAATGCCTATTTAAGACAAGGCGAAAGCGAAGCTAGTTTAATACCTAGAAATGTTGCCATAAGTCCATAGAAGGTATTTACAGAACGATTAACCTCATCTATAAAGTAGTTAATATATTGCTGAACCATCGGCGCGCGCGCACTGAGTGGTGTAAGCGGATTTACAAAAATACCTCCAGTTCCATTAAGCGTCCAGATAAACCTTGAGTGCCGTCTGCTTTATCACGACAGGTACGGATAGCAAAACAGTTGAAAGTATTTGAAAAGCTTCAATATAAATACTGTCTGTAGTTTACGCGAGTGCACATTTAAATAAAACACTTTAACCGTTTAAAACGCGATATATACGCGGGAAATTTCCCAGTTACCACACTGCTGCAAGCACCCGGAACGTCGGGCCGTAGTTAAAAATAATTTTCAAATAAGTTTAACTAATATATAACGTTTTAAACTTTTAATTTAAAATCAATTTTAGATTGAATAAAATTTTAAGACACGGACAGGACTTGATCCAGCATCCACAGCGTTCCGTGCTGTTGCTCTAACCAATTGAGCTACCGTGTCACAAGGTAGAAATCTAAAACTTGAGTGACCACGGCTGCTGCAAAGCATCCGAAATATAACGCATTTTAAACCGTTAAAGCGTTTGTGTATTACTCGCGTAAACTACAGACTGTATCGAACCCAAGTTGTTTATTAGACATTCATGGCTATACTGGGTACTGGCCCGTTAAAAGAAATACTTTCAACTAAAAATCAATTCAAGTCCTGCCCGTGTTAAGTTTAACTAATATATATCACGTTTTGAACCGTTAAAGTGTTTTATTCTTTTTTCCACTTCTGTTATAAAAACAAGATCAAAACAATAGTTTTACGTAGCGGCCATTAAAAATGATAAAGCTTTTGTAAAATTGTGAAAATTTTTTAACAAAAAAAATGAAAAAAACGACAATGGTTTTTCCGTATTTTCCATTGGTATTGTGACGCATAGCTTTTGTCGACTGTCCTTTTATTGTACACAATATTCGGTTGATCATTAAGAATTTTCAATTATGACTTTTCAGTGAAAACAATTTACTGACAATTGACTGACAAAGCTTTAGAATCATTTATTTATTTTAAAAGGAGTTTTCAAATATAACAACATCACGAATGTATTGTGCGTTTACCCCAGTGGTACACATTTAAATAAAACACTTTTAACGGTTTAAAACGTGAAATATATTACCTTTTTGTTAGTTAAATTATTGACGAGTTCAGATATAATCTTAAAAATATTACGAATAAGTACAGAGATAGCTCGCGTTTTAAACGGTTAACTGTTTTATTTTAATGTAATGCGATGTCAGTAAAATAAGAAAAAGTAACATGTAATGAAAGAGTTAATGAAAAACGTTATTAAGTACAAACTTAACGGTTTAAAACGCGATAATATTTTTTTTACGTATGACGCGCCATTATTTTAATTCTATTTTTTGTACTATAGTAACACTATTTATTATCTGTGGTATATTAAAAAAAAATAGTTAAAGATTCATACTTATAAAGTAAAGTTGGAATCTGAAATAATTAAATATCGTCTATAGTTTACGCATAGTACACGTTAAATAAATCACTTTTTAACCGTTTAAAACTACACGCTATAAGAAACTTACTTGAATTTGCGTTAGTTCTTAAGTACGTGTTGTTGCTGACCGTACACAAATAGAAAAGCAATTTCAAACGTACAAGTGAGAGATTATTGTTACATTTAATACTTTAATGGTATTGCCTCGAGCCGTGACTAACCGGGGGTCACCGGTTCGATTTTCATGAGTGCTTTTTATATATAGATCAAAGGAAGGTTTTGTTAGTCGAAGGCTAATAAAACCTTTACGGATAGAGAATGTTGTCCCACGTTTGATTCCCATTTTGCTCCCCATTTATCCCATATTGGGCCGAAACAAACAGAAGACACTGTTCAAATTTATAATCTGTGATCATCAGCACCAATGGTGGAAAATATAAATTTAATCATTTCGACAGCCATGTTGCGGGTGCGATCCTCATTAAAAATCTCCTGAAACATGTTCGACTTCCTCTGGAAACCTGGATTCGAAATTCCGTCTGGACCCACCCTCCACTGTCGACTGCCGACTGACTGTGGACTGCCGAAGCAAAGCTACATTTTTTTATGATGGATGAGGACATAAGCTTGAGGTTCATTTGATGGTAAAATACTCCAGCCTGTGGTACTCTGTTGACTCTTGGTGGCTTTGGATATTCTCATCTAGGCTAGATGTTATACGAGGTAATTCCCCTATCGCCTTTGCTTGTCTCTATCATAAACAATGTCTATCGTTCGATATTTTAATATGAGGTCCTATCTATTTACTAGGACATCCTGTTGCATGTGATGTAATAAGTCCCCACATCATAAAGAACTCAATAAAGACATATTGGGGTCAAGTGGGGTCCCATCGGCCCCATATTCTTAAACGATATTATCATACTTGTGAATGGCATAAATTAATTAGTGGTTTGATTTCGTGTGGTCGTTCACCTCTATAATCTATACTAATATTAAAATAAAACACTTTAACGGTTTAAAACGCGATATATTTTAGTTGAACTTGTTTGATAATTATTTTTAACTACGGTCTCCCCCATAAATAAATATAAATATATATATGTAAAATATGTCGATGACTGTTACCCACGAAGTCGACTGTACCGTAGTTCTTGAGTAAGTGTCAAAAGATAGACGTTAACTAAATGATATAAAGGGATAAGTTCTTTAAGAAATTTTTAATTTTAAGATAAATATTTTTCCCGGTCCTCCACATCTTCCTGTTTATTCACGATTATTAGTCGCGCCTGATGTTTCATAGTGAAGCCTTCCTTGATAAATGATCTATGAAAAAAACACTTCAACTTGTAGTTCCTGAGATTATAGCGTACAAACAAACAAACAAACTCTTTAGATTTATAATATTAGTTTAATTCAATCTTAAGTAAGAATCACAAATAAGGTAACTATTTTTTATCACCGCAATTAAGTCTTAAAAAGGTACTCGTCAAAATTCCAATTTAACGAGTAGTAACATTTAAATAAAACACTTAAACGTTTAAAAGTGAATATTAGTTAAACTTGTTTGAAAATGTTTTTTATTGCCCGAGTTGATTTGAAGGTGGTAGTGTAACGGTGTTTAACTAATAAGTTTTAAACCGTGGTTTTATTTAAATGCAATGTCAATTTAAAATCATGTTGTAAAGAAATAAAAATTTTTAAACATTTAAAAATTAATAAAAATAAAAAAAGGGTAATAGCGGTCCCAGTCTGTGGATATCCGAATACAAAGCAAAAGGTCGACAACACAACCTGTTTAGATACTATAGGTTGGGGTATAACATCTACCATCAAGTGAATTCCGTGCTCGTCTGTCCTTCTCTATCATTACTACGCAAAAACAGAACAAAAAATAAATATTGTTTTTTTTTTCTTAAGAAGGCAGACGAAACAAAGCAACAATGTAACTAAATGAAGGGCCTCTATTTGCAAGTAGCTTTCACGCTTTTAAAGAATAAAAGCTTTTTCTCAGAAGACCGCTTTTGAGTAAATATAAAAGCCACGGAGGTACCCGCTTTGACTGACCTAGGTGAAGAAGAAATAACGAACAATAGAAACTTTTTTAGAATTGAATTATATGTACTTAAATACTGTCTGTCGTTTACGCGAGCAGTACACCATTTAATTAAAACACTTTAACGATTTAAAACGCGATATATTACGCTTATTTAAAAATGTTTAACTTCAACCCGACGTTTCGGATGCAGCAGCCGTGGTCACGGGGGTCACCCCGTTTAACTAATATCTCGTTTAAATAAAACACTTTAACGGTTTAAAACGCGATATATTAGTTAAACTTATTTGAAAATAAAACCAAGATTTAAAGTGTTTTTTTAAATATGTATATCGCGTAAACTATATAAGTTTTAATATCGCGTTTTAAAACGTTGAAGTGTTTTATTTAAATTATATCTGTATTTGA